GTGTGCATGTGTGCCCAAGATCCCAAGAGGAGAATGGAAGAGAACGGATTGTGTAGCAAATTAAAAAAAAGAAAGAAAGAAAGAAAAGGAAGCTCCAGCAGATAGCATAGTGGTTAAGGTGTTGGACTCCCACATGGCCAGCCATGGTTCAAGTCCCAGACCTGGTGGCTTGAAATTGACGCCAGTCACGTGTGCATGAGTGCCCAAAATCCCTAGAGGAGAATGGAAGAGAAAGCCATTCCTCTGGGGGGCGATTTCTCACTTTCTGTCTCTCTCTGTGTCTCTGGTGAGCACATGCACGCTATACCAAAAATCTCTCTAAAAAGAAAAAAAAAAAAGAAAAAGAAAAGTAAAAAGAACCCAGCCCCTGGGCCCTGCATTTTCACGGTCCTCTAGGCCTGGCCTTTGCTGTTTCTGTCCCCATCAGCAGGCTGAACCATGCCTGCGGTTAGGACTGCGTCTTGCCCTGAGTTGGGAACAGTGCCTAAGCCAGGCACTCAGCAGGTGCTCAATAAATAGTGCCAAGTGAGTAAACGGAACTGAGTCTTTTTTTTTTTAACTATTTTTTAGAATTATTTTTAAATTTAATTTATTCATTCATTTATTTTAATTTGACCAGAAGGAGACATACACACAGGGGACCAGCAGTTGGCATAATGGCTATGTTGCTGGACTCCCATGTAGCCAACAGTAGTTCAAGTCCCAGACCCAGTGGCTTAAAACACGCTGGGCGCGTGTGTGTGTGTGCTCAAGATCCCGAGAGGAGAATGGAGGAGAAGGGATTGCGGTGTGACCATCCCCTCTGGGGGTGATTTCTCACTTTCTGTCTCTCTGTCTCTCCCTGTCTTTCTGGCAAGTGCATGTGCCCTATAGCAAAAACCTCTTTAAAAAAAAAATTTTTTTTTGACCAGAGGGAGACATACACACACACACAAAGAGAGAGAGAGAGGGAAAGTGAGAAAGCAGGCCACTAGGTCCAGGACTCAAACTATGGTTGGCCATGTGGGAGTGTCCAGCACCTTAACCACCATGCCACCTGCTGGCTCCTGGAACTGAGCCTTCAGCAGTCCTATGATGTCAACAACATTCCTCTGTCCACTTTCCAGAGGAAAACAGCTCAGAGAGGTGATTACACCTGCCCAAAGACACACAGCCTAAAAGAAGAGAAGCCAGTGTTGGGGTCTTCAAGGCTCCAAAACCATCTCTTTCTTTCTTTCTTTTTCTTTCTTTCTCTTAATAATTACTTATTTATTTAATTCCATTTGTTATTATTATTTTTTAATTTGACCAGAGAGAGACAGAGAGAGAGAGAGAAAGGGAAAGCAAGAAAGCAAGCCGCCAGGTCCGGGACTCAAACTATGGTCAGCCATGTGAAAATTCGTTTTTAACCACTATGCCACCTGCTGGCCCCCAACCACCTGCTTCTTTTTAAAATGAACCCCCAGTTTTGCTTTCCTCCCTCCCCACCCCAAAATTTGCTGAGATCCCAGCCTGCTGGGGAGGGCAGACCTGAGTTAGCATCGAGGCTGGGCACACACAGGCTTCAATCAATACCGAGCTGCCTTCAAACAAACAGCTCAGGAAGTCCGGGAACATTATTCGACCACAGCAAACAAGAGCGCCAGCAGGAAGGGGGGTGGCGGTGAGGCCAGTGAGGGAAGCTAAAAACAGACCGGGACCTGCAGCCAAAAGCAAATGGAAACATTAGCAGGCACTCAGCGGCTCCCCGAGGACAATGCAGGGGACAGGTCCAGAAAGGCGGCGGGCAGGCTGGCAGTCTGCAACTCCAGCTAGATGGTGGCACCTTTGCCCAGGCAGTGCCCTCTGCCTGGCACGCCCTTTCCTTGTCTCCCCGAGCTCTGCCTGATTCAAATTCCAGTCAACTCCTACTCCTTCATTCTTCAAAACATACCACAGAAGACACAGCCCTGGGCTTGCCACTTCCCAGCAAGGTGACGGTCACAAGAGCAATTAATGACCACGCCTAGCCCTGCTTTTTAACGGGTGCAGGGTCTAAGAAACTCATGGAAAGTGAGAATTATGGGAAAACTATGGATGGAGAGTTAAATTAATGACCACGCCTAGCCCTGCTTTTTAATGGGTGCAGGGTCTAAGAAATTAATGGAAAATGAGAATTATGGGAAAACTATGGATGGAGAGTTAATTTTGCATCAAATTAACTCTTTTTTTTTTTTGGAGAGGTTTTTGCTCTAGGGCACGTGTGCTCGCCAGAAAGACAGAGAGAGAGACAGAGAGATAGAAAGTGAGAAATCACCCCCCAGGGGGGATGGCCACACTACAATCCCTTCTCCTCCATTCTCCTCTTAGGATCTTGGGCACGCACACACACGTGCCCAGCATGAGTTTAAGCCACCGGTCTGGGACTCGAACTGTGGTTGACTACATGAGAGTCCAGAGACAGCCATTACGCCTAAATAATTCTTATTTAATTCCATTTGTTATGATTATTTTATTTTTTAATTTGACCAGAGAGAGAGAGAAAGGGAAAGTGAGAAAGCAAGCTGCCAGGTCCAGGACTTGAACCACAGTCAGCCACGTGGGAACCCAGCACCTTTAACAACCACGGCATCTACTGATCCTCCCCTCCCTTTTTTTTTTTTGGAGAGGTTTTTGCTATAGGGCATGTGCGTTCGCCAGAAAGACAGAGACAGAGACAGAAAGTGAGAAATCACAGCCCCCCCAGGGGTATGGCCACGCTGCAATCCCTTCTCCTCCATTCTCCTCCCGGGATCTTGGACACGCACGCACATGAGCCCAGCATGAGTTTAACCCACCAGGTCCGGGACTCAAACCATGGTTGACTACATGAGAGTCCAGTGACATGGCCATTATGCCAGCTGCTGGTCCTACTCTCCCACTTTTTTT